CACACACACACACACACACCAGACATGGTACTGACACACACACACTACACCAGACATGGTTCTGACACACACACACACACACACCAGACATGGTACTGACACACACACACTACACCAGACATGGTTCTGACACACACACACACACACACCAGACATGGTACTGACACACACACACTACACCAGACATGGTTCTGACACACACACACACACACACCAGACATGGTACTGACACACACACACTACACCAGACATGGTTCTGACACACACACACACACACACCAGACATGGTACTGACACACACACACTACACCAGACATGGTTCTGACACACACACACACACACACCAGACATGGTACTGACACACACACACTACACCAGACATGGTTCTGACACACACACACACACACACCAGACATGGTACTGACACACACACACTACACCAGACATGGTTCTGACACACACACACACACACACCAGACATGGTACTGACACACACACACTACACCAGACATGGTTCTGACACACACACACACACACACCAGACATGGTACTGACACACACACACTACACCAGACATGGTTCTGACACACACACACACACACACCAGACATGGTACTGACACACACACACTACACCAGACATGGTTCTGACACACACACACACACACACCAGACATGGTACTGACACACACACACTACACCAGACATGGTTCTGACACACACACACACACACACCAGACATGGTACTGACACACACACACTACACCAGACATGGTTCTGACACACACACACACACACACCAGACATGGTACTGACACACACACACTACACCAGACATGGTTCTGACACACACACACACACACACCAGACATGGTACTGACACACACACACTACACCAGACATGGTTCTGACACACACACACACACACACCAGACATGGTACTGACACACACACACTACACCAGACATGGTTCTGACACACACACACACACACACCAGACATGGTACTGACACACACACACTACACCAGACATGGTTCTGACACACACACACACACACACCAGACATGGTACTGACACACACACACTACACCAGACATGGTTCTGACACACACACACACACACACCAGACATGGTACTGACACACACACACTACACCAGACATGGTTCTGACACACACACACACACACACCAGACATGGTACTGACACACACACACTACACCAGACATGGTTCTGACACACACACACACACACACCAGACATGGTACTGACACACACACACTACACCAGACATGGTTCTGACACACACACACACACACACCAGACATGGTACTGACACACACACACTACACCAGACATGGTTCTGACACACACACACACACACACCAGACATGGTACTGACACACACACACTACACCAGACATGGTTCTGACACACACACACACACACACCAGACATGGTACTGACACACACACACTACACCAGACATGGTTCTGACACACACACACACACACACCAGACATGGTACTGACACACACACACTACACCAGACATGGTTCTGACACACACACACACACACACCAGACATGGTACTGACACACACACACTACACCAGACATGGTTCTGACACACACACACACACACACCAGACATGGTACTGACACACACACACTACACCAGACATGGTACTGACACACACACACACTACACCAAACATGGTACTGACACACACACTACACCAGACATGGTTCTGACACACACACACACACACACACTACACCAGACATGGTTCTGACACACACACACACACACACACTACACCAGACATGGTTCTGACACACACACACACACACACACTACACCAGACATGGTTCTGACACACACACACACACACACACTACACCAGACATGGTTCTGACACACACACACACACACACACTACACCAGACATGGTTCTGACACACACACACACACACACACTACACCAGACATGGTTCTGACACACACACACACACACACACTACACCAGACATGGTTCTGACACACACACACACACACACACTACACCAGACATGGTTCTGACACACACACACACACACACACTACACCAGACATGGTTCTGACACACACACACACACACACACTACACCAGACATGGTTCTGACACACACACACACACACACACTACACCAGACATGGTTCTGACACACACACACACACACACACTACACCAGACATGGTTCTGACACACACACACACACACACACTACACCAGACATGGTTCTGACACACACACACACACACACACTACACCAGACATGGTTCTGACACACACACACACACACACACTACACCAGACATGGTTCTGACACACACACACACACACACACTACACCAGACATGGTTCTGACACACACACACACACACACACTACACCAGACATGGTTCTGACACACACACACACACACACACTACACCAGACATGGTTCTGACACACACACA